CGTGTGCTCTTCCGATCTTGTGTTTTAATCGTGGAAAAGAAAATTTTATTCTATGCAATTAATACGAAGTATTTTGTATCCAACAAAAATGGTATTTTTGTCGATAAAACAGACGGCTTTAGCATCCTCTTAATTGTGTTTATTTTGTTTTGGAAAATAATTATGTTCGGTCACTAAAATAGACGACTTTAGGATCGCCTGATGTCTTATGATCCAATTTGTGACATTTAGGATATACGTATAGCTGAACATTGTTTTAAGACATTTTACGTTGAATAATTTTTACATACATTTTTACATATATATATTACGTGAAATAAAAATTAATGATACAAAAATGCATTAACAAAAAAAATGTGGCACTGAAGTTATATAGCAATAATATTGAAATGACAGATTATATATAGCAAAATATTTAAATGACAGATTATAATTAACAATATAATTTTTTATAGGTTGTTATATCCAAATTTTTGCTATGCCACATGTTTTAAACAATAAATATTATAATCAGTAGCAAGCACACATTATTTTGATGTTAAATACTAGGCATATTAATGATGTCAAATAATCAAAAATATAAGAGTTATATACAGGACTGGACATATTTTAAATATAATACTTTTATTTTTACATAGATTTAAAATACATATTTATTTTATATTTCAGCAAAGCACATAAAAGTATTTCATATTTTATTTTTCAAAAAAGTTATTTACACCATGGGTTTTGCTGCTCGTTCACTTTTACTGTTCATTCGGTTATTGAACTTCAATAAGATGCGGCTAAATGTATTTTGCGCCGGAAGTGCGTCATCTAAGTAAAATTTTTAACCAATAGTAACGAATTACTGCGACTGCACACTGCGCATGAAATGGCTTAAGATGGTCTTGAAATAAGAACCGATGAATACCTATGAATACCGGCCTTATAAGTCTGTGGTCCGAACAATGACTAAAACCTTTAGAAATGTTGTTCAGGATCATGACCTTGACAGCATATATCAAGGTTATGAACATTGAAGGTTGTTCCACTTTTTTTCGAAAATGAAAATAAGAGCGACACCTATAGGGTAAACCCGGTATATACGCCGCGCGAGGATTTACGTTACAGAAGTCAGAAAAAATAGAAGAAGTGAAACTAATTTTCTCGCAACCACTCTGTTACATATATATGCTTTTATGTTATATTAGTATTGTGTTGTGATTTCAGTTTTTTTACTGTTAATATTTATAAAATTATTATAAGTTAAATCGATTTATCACTGTAATAAGTAGCGCAATCATAAGTTATAATCTACATAAAATGATTATTGTAAGAAAAGGCTTTTGGTGGTTAGTTCGTGGTACATAGTGTAGAGGATTAGTAAAGGATAGAGTATAGCAAAATACAAGTGCTTAGCTTTTGTATAATTTTTTTGTTTAATTTATTGTCTCGTATATCCCATCTGTTTGGGATATACGGCATTTTTAGCGCGTGGGATTTATGCCGTAGCACAGACGCTCTATCATTTATTTATAAATATAAAAGTAAATAATAATACGTGATAGTACGCCCTTTACATTAATCATAACATTTATGTATGTATATTCTTATGTATGTATTTATTCATAATCTGTAATAATAAATTCTTTATTTATTTATTTATTAATGAGTAAATACAAATTACGTTGTCAATTTACGTGTTATTCATTATTATTATTTAGATTATTTGTATATTTTTCGAGTCATTTTTCCCACTCATGAATATAGCCGTATGTATAATCCACCCCTATTTTCATAAGGCAAAAATGCAAGGGTTTAAAGAAATTTCTTTTTTAATATAAAAAATAAATAATTGGGATTCCTAATATTTTTTTATAGTAGTGAACAGTATAAAGTTTTTACTGGCATAGTTCATTTAACTTAAACTTAATAGATAATATCTGATAAATTAAGTTTTTAATAGGTGCGACGTATATACCGGGTTTACCCTAATGGCCTAGCTTGATCTTAGCCTATGTTGTCAAGATCATGATCCTGAACATCCAACATTCAAAAAATTTTAGCTATTGTTTGGATACCTTGTATAATGCTTTTGCCGGCGGTACTGTAAATTTTAGACTTCATAACTCGAAATTTATTTAACCAAAAAATATTTTATTATAGTGCTTTGGAAAGTTCTTGAAGTCAGCTCCATTAGATTATGGAATTAAAAATAGAGTTTAATTTAAAAAAATCGACAAGACCTTGACCTGAGGACGCCACGCAAGGTCAAACTAATAAAAATCATTAAATAGATTTTTTGCAACTTTTGTCTAAAACATTTTTCTCAAAAACGCTTCCGAAAGTTTCCGAAATATTAAGGGATTGCCACATGTTAAGATCAAGGCGCTTCGTGCGCGCTATTTAACACTTCTTACTACGAGTATAATTTACAATTACATCAAACTCAGACAACTGTCAAAATGCAATGACACAGCCGCTTACACGAAGTAAACGCAGCGAGACAACCAATCGGCATCGCGGAAAAGCGACAACAAATAAATTTCGAGAAATGCGAGTTATCGACTTACATGCACTTTTTTTAGATGATTTCGAGAAATGCGAGTTATCGACTTACATGCACTTTTTTTAGATGATGAGATATATTTGTAATTTGTATCATAAATGTAGTTTTTGTCTTCGCAAAAGTTTAATTTGTATATAATTTGAATTCAAATTAATAATAAAGTGGAATGAAATATTAAAGTTATTATATTATATCTATTATTATTTATGCTCAAAGTATAAAGCGACTCAATTGTAGGATGGCTGTTATTTTAAAATCTGACATACGATAAACGTGTTGTTTACAACACGGCCTAATCTGCTGTCATTTTTACATTTTTAAAAACGTCAGTTAGCTATGTGTCGTTAGTACTGGCCATGATAACTAAAATCTAATGTCACGTGTGCTTGCTATTTGGAAATGTAATCAACTGTATATTTCAACTTCAAGTTCAAAAAATATATCTCATGAATGATAACTTTCGGATGTCTTCTCAAAAGGTCTTGAAATCATTTTTAAAATGTTTTTTTTTAGTCTTAAAAAGAAAGAAGTTATTTAAAAGATGTCTTTAAAACAAGCGTGTTGTCAGGGTACTGATTAATATTAAATATAACTACTCAAAAATATAATGCATATATAACTCTTTTATAAATTTAAATCTACATATTTTAATTATATTTTTAATGAACCTTTAGTTTGAATTAATAATTAAGGATAAACATAAAATATGTATGTTTATAGGTATTTTAAAGCATTTGTAACTATAGAAAGTGATAACGAAAATGATACTAAGAAAGCGAAACAGAGATTTTACGAATTGAATCCTGCAAATATCTTCGTAAATTTTGATCGGACGCCACATATAGAATGTATTATCAAGTATAATAATTTTCTTCAAAATTGCTTACGTCGATCGATTTACGAGCAATCTGTTGAAAAGATTAGGTAAAGAAAATAGTACATTTTAGATTTTAATATTATATTATTCAATATTATTATAATAAATATTATTTTCTATTGTATTAGACAATTTTACCAGAATCCTGAACGTGTTTTAATACTTATCGATGGTAGTATAGAGTCAAGTATTATTATTCATCTCGCTCACATATGTAAAACTCAATTGCATTTTAATAACAAATTGCAAGGAGTTTATTTCAAGAAAAAAGAGATGCCGGATGACATAGATGAATTCATCAAGGAAATGATTGACAAGTAATACAGAATAATCTATTGTTCAAATTATAATTTAAAAAATATAATTAAATTCATTCATGTATATAAATTAATATTATATAACCGCTTTTTATTACAAAACTTATAGTAGATTAAAATTAAATTATGTTTTTCTTAGATATGATTTAATAGTACATACTGTGGAAACTGCAACTGATAATAAGATTATTCAATCGCACTTACGGCCGACATTACTAATTGGAAAGGCCGAAGAAAGCGATGAAACTAGAATTAACTCTAATTATAACAGCATGGATAATTTGGATCAATTACAAATCAATAATCCCTTGCGTAACTGGACGAAAAAAGATGTATGGACTTTTGCTTCATCATTATATTTAACATATAAATTAGCAGTTTGATAAAAATGGTAAGAAGAAATTACATCTTAAAAATTGTAATTAAAACAAATAGATGATATAATCTGTTTTTATGATATTATTTCACGCGTTGTATTGTACAGCATGAATGTTGCGCGTAATGAAGGAAAATTGTAACGATATAACAATAAACATATGAGACGGAACATGTAATATTTAATAGCATATGTACACGATAGAGAAATATTGATTGTGTCGATCGTGTGCTACTGGTGTTATCGCTGAGTTATGTCACGATTTTACTTCCAAATTCCAGAAATCTGAAAATATTTCTAGTCAGATATCGTTTAATATTCCTAAGGACAAACGCGGTGTGTACAAGAGCAACTTTGTATTGTCTGTGCGCGGTTTTCAATATGTCCGCTCAACCATTCGAGCAGTGAAACTGGAATGTACATGGAAGAGAGAGGTACCGGAGGGATGGGAGGACTGAGGCGAGACCGAGGTATCCTTCGAGAGTGGGGGCGAACTACAAGCTCGTATTACACATTTTTCAGCTGAAGAAAGCCGACTGGAGAGAGAACATCCTTGCCGTCTTCTTTTATTGCTTCATCATCCCCGTTCCATTCTTTTGAAATTTCATTCCGAGTTAAAGTATTCCCACTTTTATCCATTGGAACTTTAAATTGAGAACGAGTCGCAGTGTCGACGTGTCTTACTGATGATGTTTCCATGCTATACTGTGCAAGTTGTCCATCCGGACCTTTATTAAAGCTTAGACTTTTATCAAATCTATCCTGTAAGCCTATTCCTATGCTATAATATTCAAGTCTTTAAAAGCTTACGTATTAATAAAAGTAAAAAGCTCAATAGTTTTTAACGGGATATAAGCAATAAGATATGCGTCAATGTGCATGTTCGCGTATACGCATGGACATCATTGTACACATTGGAAAAGATGAGGAGAGAGAGGCCGGTACTAGAGATGGAAACGAAACGAAACGAAACGAAACGAACGTATATTTCCAGAACAAATATTTACGCGAAAGAGGTATAAAAAGAGCGAAAATGTGTTTTCTGTTTGATTTGCGACTGTATTTTTCTTTCCGGTCCAACGGTCTTCCTCCCTCGCCCTTGCCATCACTCAGGCAACTACCCAACCACTCACTTACTCTCGACTAGCTCTCCCCTCTTCTGCGCTTCCTCTCGCGGATTCTCCGCGCCCGCGCCCATGGGCGGACAGAAGACTGAAAGAGAGCGATAATTCTGTGGGCATAGGTTACAGACATATGCATATATACGTTGATTTTATATTTCACAAGTCTTGAACGAGTTTGAAATGAGATATTTGAAATCGTCACTTTTTTATCTGGCAGAAAAAATACGGCATTACTTTCATTTTCTGCCTAATTCTGCATAATTCGTCGTTTTCATCTTTATTTTTACTTCAATCCATTTTGCACATTTTCCACATATATCTTATAAAGATGTTTCCATGTTTCTTGCTATTTTTGCTTTCTATAAGCGAAGTTTAATCTCAATTTTATTGCAATTTTCCTCGCATCTTGTGTTTCGATAATTAATATTATACATTAGCTTATCTTATCTAAATTAGCAAAAATGTTTTATTTTGCTGCTATCTAGACAACACGCGAAGTATTTATGATACTTTGGAATATTCCAAACGTAAAGATTTTTTTTGAAATATGAAAGCTGATCACAATTGATCCCGGTGAATAAGCTTTACACGTGATATGGAGAATGTGGATACACCTACTTGAAAAGTTTAGATTTCATAAATTCTGTGATATGCGCGTATATTGGCTATCTATCAAAAGTTTATCTGATTGTACGTTTCGCGGTGTATATATGTCGTGATGAAAAATGTGGGACATCCAACTGTATACAATGACAAATTGCCAGACGAGAAGAAATTACGAGTTCTTTTCTTAGATTCCATATTGTATATTGCTCACAGAGCATCATGCTATATATGAAATCAATTAAATAGATGACAGCCGATGATAAGCCAATTATATTAATAATAAATCTTCTCGAAAAATTTACATTAAAAGATATTCGATATATTCTATTATGTACATTTGACTTATAGATAATTCGATGAATAACAATATAGTAATAACGATATATTTTTTATTTTCAGAGATCTAGATTAAAAATCACAAAATCATGTAAAAATCAGCAATAATACGATTTTGAAACTAAAATAAAAATATTTCGTTTCGTTTCGTAATATATGAATCTTTGAGAATAAAATATTTCTAATTCTGTCCTGAATTTCTATTTCACTCTTTATCCGGATCTATTTTCTCAAATTATAAAACAGCATAATTGTTAATACATGACATATAAATATCTCTTTCTTTCCGCGGCTGATTTAAAATCATCAACTTTAAATGGTATATATTACGTCAAATATTCTTATCTTAAATATGATGATGTGCATGATGAAATGTGTATCGTGATTAGAAATTAATGAATAAAAATTAATAAATTAATAAATAAAAACTATGATTAAACTATTATATCAAAGTACTAATTGATGTAAATATCAAATAATTTTTGTTTAATAACAATTGAAGACATTACAACATGCAAACAATTTGTGGGGAACATTTTCATTGGTATGATCAGTAAGGAGTGATTGAGCAAGGGTTGTAGCGGTCCAAGCGTTTAGTCAAGTCGAAGGGTTGGCAAGCTGTCGCGTGCCACGCCGTTATCGATTTCTTCCTGCCGCTCTCATTTCCTCTTTCTATCTTTCTACCAGTCTTCCTTCCTTTTTCACTTAAACATACGTTTGCTGCTCGTCTCTACGTAATCCAAGCATTTTCATTCACTAATCATTCATAATTCTGTTCAATAATATGATTATTGTTTTGAAATATCTATACAAAAAGTATTGCTTTAAAAGTTTTTTATAAATTTATAAAAAATTTTTAACCGTGATATTTTTATATACAGGGTGTCCCATTTTATATTTGACAGTCAAATATTTGGAAATTGCGAGATTTGAGAGAAAAATGTTTCAGGCAAAAGTTGTAGGGTTTCAAGGGGGACATAAGTTGATAACATTGGTTTGACCCTGAGTGGCGTCGTCAAGATCAGAACAAGGTCACTTTGAATTTTTTTAATGGAAATCTCCATTTTTCGTTGCATCTTGTAGCTTATTTCAAGAGCTTTCCAAAACACATAGATAAAATGTTTTTTAGTTAAGTAAATCTCGAGTTATGAAGCTTGAAAGTTACAG